ATTTGCTCTCAGGGCTGGGTCTTACCCTGAACCCCCCACCCCCACCCCTTCTCCAGCTTTGATGCTGTCTCACCTCAACTGGACCACAGCCGCAGTGTCATGAGCAGGTTAAATCCGGCCACTTTCAGGAGCAGGATTCGGAGTCCCATCACTGACAGGTTTTGAAAGTTGAGGTTCATATCTGGGAAACCAAGAAGTCATAGCCGTTAAGGGTATGCGCACAAGAGGTCTGTACAGCAAGGCGCTACGGACTTTCCCAAGAGCTGGTCAGGCTGGTGTGGGTGACTGCAGCTCCCTGGTCCATTTCTTTGAGCCTCTGCACACACCCCAGGGCAAAGGGATTTGTGTATTCCTCCAGGGCGAGAGCATCGTGTTTTAAGGCAACAACCACCAAAGGACTTATCCACATAATACTCTGAGGCCCTGTAGGCTCTGGGATGGGGCTGGGGTAGGTGCTCAGGGCGGCTGTCACACCCCGTGGGCCTGGGCCCCTCAGTGACACCACAGGAGCAACAACTCAGGAATGAGGTGGCTCTGAGACAAGACAAACCTGAGGCTGTGTGGGTTCTACCACCTTTCTAGCAAAGCTTCCCAAGATGTCGAGGGACAGTGCTCTCAGAGTGACATGGTTAGTCGGGCTGCTCTGGAGGGGCTCACAACTTCCCAGCCGCACAGTAAGCAGCTTCTTTGGCTGTCCTTACAGAGGAGCTAATAAAGGAGGAGCGGAGGCCTGGAGTGGCTCCCGGGCCTAGTGAAGCTGAAGACGCATCTTGCTAAGAACTTAGAATGGAAAATGAAGTTGACCATGATGGAGGGACTCAAGACTGACCACGGGCAGCTGGGAGTGGGTTTGGAAGTGCTGTTCCCATCCCCAGACTCATCCCTTCTCCTCCCCTATGCACTAAAGGTTATTATGGGCTCGTGGCTTCCTCCAGCATCGTGCAAAACTGGGCAGGTCCTTCTCTTACCTGTTTCAAAGCTTTTCTCTATCAACCTGGCATCACAGGGAACATCTAAAAGAAAAAAAAACACAACTGTCTTAGAGTCTAAAGCATGCAGACTTTTACGTGATTCTTTGGAAGAGAGTGGGGAGGGGGCATACTACCCAGGGGCACCAGTTGGCACAAAGGTCCTAATGGGGGCAACACCCAACTTCTGGACACTCATTCTTTCAACAAATACGGGTTGTGAAAGTATATGTCTGGACGTGGGCAGGTTTCAGTCCAGAGACCAGTCAAGGCAGCGAGACATATTCACAGTGACTAGGGCCATGTATTTTCATGTATTCCAAAGAAGTTCTGGTGCCCAATTTTTTCCTTTGTCATCCCTTAGTTAGTATCTAGTCCCACTGACTCAGAGGCACTGCCTTTTTCCTTGAAGCCCCATTGCTTTCCCATCTTTGTGTGGTTCTATTCTCGAAGCCCAGGTAGTGTTATCCACTGGAGTCCCCCCCATCACCTGGCAGAGCCTCCATCATCTCTCCCCTGCATTCCCGTTCTTCTGCTGGACCTACTACAGTCTGCCTTCTGCACAGCAACAGCCTTACAGTTTATGGCATTTAGTTATTTATGGAGACAGGGTCCCGGTGGTCCAGCTGGCCTTAAACTGAACTTGCTGTGTAGGTGAAGATGACTTTGAACTTGTGATCCTCTTGCCTCCACCTGAGATCTGGCCCTGATTTACATCATCCTACTCATGCCCTGCAGCTTTCCCTTGCTCTCAGCCTTTCCCTTCACAGTTTTCACAGGGTCCTCCCTGGCCGAGGCACAGCTGGTCCCCTCTTATCCTTTACATTGCAGAGTGAACGCATTTCCTTAGAGCCTTCTCTGAGGTGGCTGTTTTCTTAACTCTGTGTTAACGAATATATTAATTACAGCCTGACATAGCGGACATGTCCCTGCCGAGAGCTGATCTTCCTTGATCAGAATGGTGCTCCCTAGTGTGCTCCCTCCACACCTGACCTCTTACATCACTCCAGCATCTGGGACTCTACACCCACACTCTAGGCAGACATAGAAATCAGGGCAGACAGCTGTGCGGCAGGAAGGGCATGGAAACTGTGCCTGGGAGAACGGAGAGGGCGAGTGTGGCTCCAACAATGGCAGGAAGGTGGGTGAGAATTCAAAACAGGGAGACCAACTAAGGCCAATACGGGGCCAATGCCCGGTGTCCTGTTCTCTTGTCTGCTTTAGGGCCAGACATTTGTGGCCTGATAGGACAAGGCACAAGTAAAACAGGATGTGGATCTTGCTGACAACCGATGAGTACCTGACCAAAGCAGCTTTTAGACCACAGACTTGAGCTGGGCCTCTCCTGAAGCGAGGAGACGGCTTTAGGTGGCACTCACCTGAGCTGGGGTAGGGGACATTCTGTCTGAAGGCGTCTTTACAGTTCAAACTACTGTGGTTACTCCAGGCAATGGCCCCGTTGCTCTTGGAATCCATAGACCGCATGTCCAGCACGGTGTTGTCGGAGACAAACACACCAGGTGGCACGTCCTCTGACTTGTTGACGTGGGAACCGAAGTCGGTGAATAGGCAGATGGTGCTGTTCTTGGCCTGAGCATCTCTTAGCTGGTACACAGCTGGTTTGGGGTCCTGGATGTCTGTGGGCCAAGAGGACTGAGGTGAGAAGGTGATCCTCTTTCCCTTCTACCTTTTGTGTTCTAACAGAGGCCAGAACTCAGGTGCCAGTGACAGGCACAAACAGAGCGCTCTGGGTTAGCTGGTGTTGTTCTCAGGCTTTAGATCAGAAGTGACACCTTAGAAACCAGCTGTTCATGGTGGGCTGGGGACAGGCACAAATCCTGAGTCCTGGCCAAGTCAAGCTCTTAGTAGTTGCTCTCCACGAGGTCCTGTCTGGCGTTCTGGGAAATCTGAAAGGCGGGGCCACTAAACCCTCTGGCCATTCTTTGACTTAATAGCATCTTCCAAACTCAGTAACTCTAGCCAACAATTTTGCTCTGGCAGGATGAAAACAAGCTTAGAAAAAGTGGACCAAGCTGGTCCTCTAGAGCGCTCTCCCTCAAGTAGGCTGGACACTGGTGGGAAATGCAGGCCTGTGATATCTAGACATGAAGTTGGAAAATCTATCATGTCACCAGGCGATTTCTCTCTCATTGGTAAATGTAATGAGTAACAAAGCTAACATGCAGTCCAAGTCCTGACTCTCTAATTTACCACCGACAGCCTTGATTAGATCAACAGGCAACTGAAGTCTCAGAACTTTCACCTATAAAATAGACATGTTGCTTCATCGCCTTTCCAACCAGGCTCTTTTGAGAAATGAGTATTTCTCCAAGTCAAATGAAACTAATCAAGCACACAGCACTCAGCAAATGTGCCGGAGTTTCACTATGAACACACACAATCAAACAAACCCATCACACTGTTTAGTCCAGGAAGCAGAGTTTCACCATGAACACACACAATCGAACAAACCCATCACACTGTCTAGTCCAGGAAACGGGGACCCTTCCTCAGTGCTGAGACAATTCTGTATACTTTTTCTGAAAGATTTTGTTTTTAATGTGACTCTCGCTGACTAGTTTCTTCACCCCTTCCACCTTCAGAGGAGGAAGCAGAGGCTGGCCAGAAGGAAGGATTTAACACAGCAGACCACCTAGAGAGTTTCCAGCAGGGCTGGGACCTGTCCTGTGTGTCCTGATCCTGTCCTATGTCCTGATCCTGTCCTGTGGATCCTGATCCTGTCCTGGGTCCTGATTCTGTCCTGTGTGTCCTGTCCTGTGTGTCCTGATCCTTTCCTATGTCCTGATCCTGTCCTGTGTGTCCTGATCCTGTTTTGTGTCCTGATCCTGTCCTGTGTCCTGATCCTCTCCTGTGTGTCCTGATCCTGTCCTGTGTCCTGATCCTCTCCTGTGTGTCCTGACCCTGTCCTGTGTGTCCTGATCCTGTCCTGTGTCCTGATCCTGTTTTGTGTGTACTGATCCTGTCCTGTGTCCTGACCCTGTCCTGTGTCCTGATCCTGTCCTGTGTCCTGACCCTGTCCTGATCCCACTCCCACAGTTCTTCACTGTGCACGGACTGTTTTCAGACCCGTGTGTTGCTCTCTGCTCACTGAGACAACCAGGGTGGCCTTGGCAATGCAGGCTTCCAGCTGGATCCTGAACCAGAGCCATCAGGGCCGGGCACAGCTGCCTGAAGCACAGTGCCGCCTGAGAATCAGCAGAGCTGGGTGGGCGCCGTTATCTGACTTGGAGCTTTGGCCCCTTTCAGACAAGAAGATACGGCTGCAGCACAGCAGCTTCGTAGATTTTAGTCCCTTTCATTTTCGGCCCCAGAGACATCTACTGCCACCTCACCTTTCCCCCTGAAAATCAGAAACAAATCACCTTTAATCGGAGGTCTTTGGGTTCTGTCCCTGTGGTGAGACCTCCTATTCCTACCTCATAAGAAAAACACATTTTTAACCACGGAAAGGCATCAGAGGTCACTTTAGCGAGACTGGATCAATTTTTCAACTACAAGTTCAGCTGTTCTGGATCCTAACCTGTCATCACAATTCAAAACGAATACAGAAGGCCAAGTCTGAACGCATTAGCACTGTGGGTCCCCAAGGGCACTGCGTGATGGAAAACACCCTTGCCTTTAAGTCTGTGCCCTGTAGTTAATGACTGGGAACTCAGAAGTGAGAGTTAGTGACACAGATGTGGGTCATTCAGGCTTGGATAGCATCAGGAAACAGCCCTGCAGGCTTTTTGGGAAGCTTGCCCACCCGTCCTAATGGCTCCTTACAGAGAAACCAGTGGTTGTCTTCCTCGGAGGCTGGGATTAACTCTTAGAGTCCAGTGAAGACAGAGAAAGGAGTCCCTGGCCACCCATGGAAAGAACTGACCCCTCTTACCTCACACCAGACTTCATTCTAAATTGGATTCTCAGTTTTCTTGTGGCTGGCCCTGGTCCCAATTTCTGTATTCTCTAGAAGGTTCTAGTATTCCTTCCTTCCTTCCTTCCTTCCTTCCTTCCTTCCTTCCTTCCTTCCTTTTTTCAAGGCAGGTTTCTCTGTGTAGTCCTGGTTGTCTTGGAACTCGCTCTGTAGATCAGGCTGGCTTTGAACTCACAGAGATCTGCCTGCCTCTGCCTCCCAAGTTTTGGGATTAAAAGTGTGTGCCACCACCACCTGGTTAGTATCACCTTTTTATTTTCTGGCTAATATCTTCTTTCTGTTTTGTTCGCTTAGTCCATTTTTTATTATCAGATTTGTCTACGAAGGCCATGTTGCCTGTGCTTGTTCATCCCAAGATCAGATCTTCGTTGTTGTTGTTCTCTGTTGGAATTCTGACCCACTCCTCTCTCTGACCTGTACAGATCTTATCAATCTGTCAGGGCTCAACAAGTCTTTTCCAGCACAGAAAAGAGCCTCTGTCTAGGGTACCTTCTATCAGGACTTTAACCCATCTGAGTCTGTTTATCTGCACCGCCAGTTAGCGACACTAGGATAATTTGTAGGTTGCTAAATGAGCAATAGTTCTGAAACTTGGCTAGCTTTTGTGCTGTTCGGGGACAGGTCAGACATCTATCTTGGGATTTTTTTATTTTCATCCTAACATTATCTAAAATGATAGCTACTTAGAAGGCATTTAAAAGTGTCCGTTGAATGATTAAAGTCATATTTTAATGAGTTTGACCTAGAGAAGCAGATATTTAAGATGGATCGTGATGCCGTCCCCCTTCGCAGACCTCTGTAAAACAATTAGCTCAGAACCCCCAGTAAGCCTCACCCTGCTGCGGCCACAATGGCCATCTCCAGGGGAGGATTAATGACACTGGCCTACAGGGTTGCAAATGGTGCCACTTGGCATGACTCACCAGATATTACTGCCACTTGGGTCCCTTTCCCAAATGTGAATTTCCCACTAAGTCCTCCAGTGTTCACACTGCAGGTGACCCCTTTACAGAAGCTCAGGACACCTTCCCGCTCTGGAGACAGAAGACGCTCATCCCTCACGGGGTGGAGGATCATATTCCTAAGGCTGAGCCCTTCTGCTGTCTTGTACTGCAATGCAGCCTTTGCTATTAGTCCTTTCCTTCTGTCCAGTCTACTGTGGTGCCCCGAACTGAAGTGAATTTATGTGACTTCCATTAATTCAGTAGACTCCATGAGCTCGAAACTCCCTGCTCAGAGCAGCAGTACCTTGGATCCTCTAGTTGAAGGATCTCCATTACCACCTGCCTCGTGATTGCCAAGGGGTCAACACAAGGATAATGTTTCCTTAGTACTTGGTGCTGGCTGGGGTGGGGTTTTCTAGAACCATTTAAGATCCTCCAGGAGGAAACACCTGAGCTCAAGCCAGTGTCTTGGACAGGGAGGAAGAGGAAGTACTTGGGCGTCCTGCCCTTGCCTCATTCTCCCTACATGGTGGAACGCTTAACGTGGTCCCTGCTCCACAGTTTAGTCTCGGGCTAGAGCTGAACCCTACTCCAGATAAGGTCTCTGCAGAAGCCTTTCTGATACCACTCTGCTGAAGCCCACTGGGGTCTCAGGACACTACCCCAAACTGTCCTGAAGTTCTTGGCTTCTGACCACTTCTGTTTACTAAGGAAGCCGCTGCCCTCGCCTTTTACAACAAGGAAGGTGAACCGTGATGACAGGGCCGAGGACGCGTTAGACACTCTCGGCTTTCTCGCTACGTGCAGGCGAGGTCCCACGTTATCATGGGGTATGAGTACGTTGTTAAAGTGGAAACAGTGTTAAAGACAGCTGGGGAAGGTGGGGCCAGAACTCCCCTCATCTGCCATCTTCCTTGTCCGTCTCCTGTTCTAGCCTTGTTATAACATGTAGCTCACCAACCACTAACAGAGCACAGTCATTGACCCTTGGACGAGGGTTCCGGGACTCAAGGTTCTGAGAGAAGCCTCTGGGAACTAGTGCCCCCGTTAGCACACTCATTAGCTGACCCGGAGTTTAACTACCTGCTGCAATGAAAGAGAATTTGTGTTTGCCATTAACCCAGCTCTTCCTCCCTGAGGGCACTTAGCTAATTTCCCGAAAGTTCAGGTTATCTGGTGCTGATCTGATCAGCTTCACTTGAAAGCACTGAGTATCTGCAATTCTTTTAATTTTTTCCCTATAAATTATTCTGTTCAGATTTTCATTTATTCAGTTGGCCCTTGGCACCTCTCTGACTTCAGTATGTGAACTGGGAACACTTTAGGCTATCACAAGAGCCTGAGGAAATAAGAAATAAAGTTTTGCGCACCCCAAGTTTGCTAGAGATTACACTAGCAGGCCATCAGGTCTTCTTGCTCTGGTCATTGGCATGGTCATACTCACATGGGCGCACAGCCAGGCTGGTCCCTGACCCAAAGGTCAGCTTATTGAAGCCTCCATATAACACACAGTAGAAGGGTGCTTTACAAGAACTCTTACCTGGGCTGGACCAGCCTGGATGGGGCACTCGTCTTCTGCCTCAGTTTACCAGTCCCCCTCAAGACAGAAGAGAAGTCTCACCACTGATAACTTTCCTCAGGAATAGTCTCACAGACCTTTCCATCAGCCACCCTGGAGCCAGTGGGGCCTTCTTGAAAGGTAGGTACCCGTTCTGGCCTCTACACCACAACTGAAGATAAGACAGGCAACTTGGAA